TCCTGCAGGCACAGCAGTGCTTTGTAGACCAGCAGCAGAGCCTGCTCGGATCACTCAAGTTTTTAACCTTGAACTAGTCTAAGACTGACAACCACACGCTTACCCCTTGACAGCTGATTTAACAGGAGAAACACATACAAACACATCAGGGCAACAGCAAACACATTCCTGACCTACGCTGTCATCTTTACCTTTTTTCCTCCAGAAAACAAACAAACAACACCCAAACAAAACAAACAGAAACCACCAAAATCCAAACATTCCCCAGGCAATGAACCTATTCTGTGCTGTTTATGGACCCCTTAGAAACACCAGCCATGTCCTGCACAGAGATGGCCGGTTTCAGCTGAGGAAAACCCTCCATTTTAGTATTTTTCAGCTTTAGAAGTCACAAATGCCAAATTCTAGTGTCCAGCCAATGGACAGTTAATTGCACAAAACTGAGATTTGCAGAAGCGGAGATAAATTAGATCTGCTGTGATTGCACCATGGCTCGACCAAGGGTGGGCATCTCTTTGCAGGGAAGGGAGGAAGGAGAAGACCATCAGCAAAGAACATTGTTCAGCACTGAGAGGGGGCAGAGGCTTTGCCTGGTGCCAGTACAGATGGTGCTGAGGAAGAGACACATGGCCATGCTACAGCTGCACAGAAGCTGGATGTACATGGCTGGAAATTAAATGAGACCAACAGTTAAAGAGGAAAAAAAGAAGAACTCTGATTGATGCATTACACTTTTTGTGGCCTGCTTATATAGACCAGAGCCAGTGGAGTATCCAGTTGAACCGAAGACACAGGGTATGCAGACATCTAGTGCTGATCAACTGCTCTTTGTAAGGGATCACTTGGGGTAATTATACAGCACAGGACTTCCCAAGCTGGTAAGGACAGACTTCCACCCAGACCCACCAGTGAAACAGGGATGTATTTTACCTCTTGTTAAGCAGTTCCCTTTTCCTGCCCAATAGCCCTATCAGAACAGATTACACTGCTCTTATATCCTAAAATACAGCTCAGGTCATCTTGAAAGTTTTCCCTGAGAGTATCTGTTTAGCAAAGCTGTGATAAACTGATAGTCCCTTGGCAATTTCTTTCCTGATAAGAGATGTAAATTACTCTCAGCTTCCTTCCTGTAGAGAGAATGATGGAGCAGTAACTACTAGGCTGGTGTAATAGAGTTAATCCAGAGATAATTTGTGCTTTCCTTACACAGAAGCAGCTGCTGCCATTTTTTATAGAGTTAAAATTCTCTTCAGTTTTAGGATCTGATTTTGGTCCCCTCTTAGATTCCACTTCCAGAGAAATATTTTATGCAGGCAGTTCAAAATCTTCACCTTTTAGAATAGGTCTAGGGAGAAAAGAGAAATGGTTTGCAGAAAGGCTAGCAAAAAAATAAGTGACACTCCTCATACAAATCACAAGCACTGA